GGGATAGCAGGATTAAACTACGCTCACAGTGGGCGAGGTTTGAGCGAAAATTCGTAGCTACTGTTCCCGTGCACCTAGAGCGTTCAAATTCGGTAGGAGTACAGTCGGCACGATGAGGATGATGATGGGAAGTGGCACAACTTGACTCCGCTCTTAGGAAGCGAGACAAGCACGAGAGTTGCTAATTTATACCTGAGGCGTTCAAATATGGAACGTGCAAGCAGCAGCTTTAAGGTGTCGATGCTAGGTAGCACGAAGTATATGAAATTGAGGCTTGGGCGATGTAGGAGGGACCATGCGTGAAGAGAGCGTACCTTAAGCGGAAACATGGAGTCAAGTTGGAATAAGAAGGAATAAACGCAACGCACGAAGTGTGTCGGTGTGTCGGTGTGTTTAGCTGTAATTCGATAGCTCCTGTTTTCTTGGACCAAAGTATTTAATTTGGGAGAGTGCAGGCGGCATGTCAACGTTGACAGGAGAAAGAGAGCCTGGCGTCAGCCGGGCGATCCGACTGGTATTTATTACCGAAGCAAAACGAAATGTATATCAACCATTGTAATGTCCACTGCTAAGTACAATTTCTGACAACACTCTGATAGTTTGTTAATTCCGCGTCTAAAAAGTCTTCACGTTCGAGGCAGAACCCATTTTTGCACTTCTTCGGCATTTCGGAAGCGCACACCTGCCAAAACTGACTTGCATGAATCGGAATAAATGGTATTCAGAAGGGGCTAGATCCGAGGAGTATGCGGGCTGGGCGAGCTGATCCATCCAAGATCTGCAATTCTTAATGAACATTCTTTGCAACATGCGGCCTGGCGTTTTCGTGGTGGAACAACACCTAGTTATGTTTTCTTGCTACATATAAGCGGCCGCTTTTCGCTAAGGGTATCCGACAAACTAAGGGCTGAGAGTTAAGCTGGTGTACGTGGCAGTCAACAGCAACCGTTTTGTTTGGATTCAGCAGCTCGTAGTACACAATACCCTTCTTATCCCATTAAATACACAGCATCACTTTTTGGCAGGGAATATTTTCGTTGTCGGATTATCGTAGTAGACCCACTTTTCATTCCCGAGACAATCCGGCGAAAAAATAGTCTTTTAGTGGCCTTCAAAGTTTTTCCTGCAAGCCTTCACGCGTACTTTAAGCTGCTTTTGTGATAGCTGGTGAGGGACCCATTGCGTGCAAGCGTGTGGAAGTAGTTGCACGGTCAATGTACAGCACCATTGCCAGTTCTTTTTGGGCCTGGGCTGGATGCTCATCCGACAGTGCTTGCAACTGCTTATCCTGAAAAATTTTCGGCTGACCTAGATATTCCTCTTTCAAGTCGAAACCTTCACTTATAAAACATTGAGACCACTCTCTGCACGTTCGTTTAGATGGAGCTTGTTCTACATAGGTATCGAAAAGCATCGGGCGTTCTTCAGTGGCAGTTCTCTTGAAATCAAATAGCAGAAGGGCCCTTCGGCAAAGCGACTTAATACGTTGCATGCTCAGTCACTCTGAGAGCAACGGTATTGGAAGGGAAACTTATCTGTCTGCCCTTCAATAGGTGGTCAATACTCATTTTACAAAAAATGAGAAATTCACAACATGCAACGCAACGACTCTTCGAATTCGGAGGCGGAAATTGAAGCACACACCTAACATATATAACTTCGTTAAAAACATTCTAGAACGCGAAAAAACGGTCAGGGCTGTCGGAGAATATGGTCAAATTCCCAAAAGGGGCTTGGTTTGCACTGAGGTGGGCGGACCAACAAGGAAAGGATACCAAGTCGCAGTGGCCATTAAGATGAGATGTATACCGACGTAGGTAGTTTTGAACGCTGATCTCAAATCTGGGTTCCAAATCTGCGAAACGGTTCTGGGAATAGAGTTACGGGCCCCCTTTCCCCAAGCGTTATATCACTTTTTTGCTTTTGTATGAGAACCAAAGGACACCGCCCATGCAGCGACGGCGCAGTTGGTAGGACGACGGACTGGTACGCGTGGCACGGAGGTTCGAAACCTTGATGGGTGCGCTTGTTTTGCTTTTTGTAAAAAGTGTCCTAAACGCTTGCAAAACTCTTTTACGCATCATATAGACCATTTACAGCCCTCCTTCACAGTTGCGCAGCACCAGAAATGCTAATACAGGTAAATTTTTTCGTGGGCTCCACAGACCGAATAGTGGGGGGGGGGGGGGGGGTCACATAGTTTCCTTCTGCTCCCGGCACCCAAAAAATTGAGCAGCTCCATGCACTTTCAAAACAGCGCTGTCACATGACTCGTCAGGGAATAGCGCCTTTGGATGAAGTAACACCTCTCTATGGGTAGAAGTGAGCTGGTACAATTCAGCTGTCATTTTTTATGGAAAATACTATCGAAACAATAGGTGGACATTTTATGAACAGATATAAGCCAAAACAAAGTCTTTGAAGCAGAAAAGCTTCTCACAATGTGAGCAATGCACGATAGAAACTTCACCGCACCCATAACTTAAAGTTCCCGTCTAGTTGAGATGAGAAGCCATTCCTTACAGGAGTTTCAAATTCTCTCAGGTCCCTATCCAGGTACCCTGATGCAAACGATTAGTAAGAAAGAAACTTTTTGAATCTAATTACCCTAAACAAGAAGTACACCAGTGAGTTAGGGCGAATTATGGAGTTGCGGATGTTAACGTAGAAGTCCAGATCATGAACAATTACGAAAGAGACAGTACGCTCATACATGGCTTCAGGTAGTAAGGAAAAATATGCATCGAGAGGCTCAACTTGAGAAGTTGCGTCAGGTGGAATATTGAGCACTTTCACCTCCTTGCTAGTTGGCAAAACAGCCTGAATCGCTTCATGGTCTTGCACGAGCTCCATGAGTCGACGACCAGTAGGGTTGAAGGCAAATCTGTTGATGCAGCGCACGTTCTAACCCAATCAAGCATAAGTTCCTTGTTCATCATGTTGGTTGTATTGTGACCTTAAGTGCCGGAAGCAGAAGGGAACTATGGACCCCTCCCTATTCGGTCTGTGGAGCCGACGAAAGTTTACCTGTATAAGCATTTCTGGTGCTGCGCAAATGTGAAGGAGGGCTGTAAATGATTTATATGATGGGTAAAAGGGTTTTGCAAGCGTTTAGGGCACTTTTTATAAAAAAAGCAAAACAAGCGCACTCATCAAGGATTCGAACCTACGTGCCGCGCCTACCAGCCCGTCGTCCTCCCAACTGCGCCATCGCTGCATGGGCGGTGTCGGTTGGTTCTCATACAAAAGCAAAAAAGTGACATAACGCTTGGTGAAAGGGGGTCCGTGACTCTGTTCCCAGAATCGTTTCGCAGATTTGGAGCTCAGGTTTGAGATCAGCGTTCGAAACTACCTACGTCGGTATACATCTTATCTTGAATGGCCACTGCGACCTGGTACTCTTTCCTGGTAAGATAAAAAATCCGCAACTCAGTTCGAAAACGATCTAAAGCACGGGAAAAAGTGATTAGAGGTTATAGAAGGAATGTGCCGAAATCCTTAACACGTTGACGACAATGTCGGTCAATGGTGACCGACAGTACTGTAAGTCAGCCAAATGAAGAAATTCTCAGGTTTTTTTGTTTCATATTTTACATTTACTTATTTACTCACTATTACTCACTAACTTTAGCGTCGACCCAAGATCCATCTAAGGCTAAGGTTTTTATGGAAATATTAAGTAACGAGTCAGGAGTCATATATCATATCAGATAATAATTAAAATTTGAACTCCTTCTAACGATTGGCGCCTTACCTCTAATCTTGTTTCCGCCGAACGTTTAGATAGTGCTTTCTATGAATGTTCACAATTCAAAGCCTCATAGACCGAAATGGTCTACAAAGACCGCGATTTTGGAGAATTCACCCAAATCTTGACAGAATACAAGCCTTTCTTTTGTTTCCAGGAGTTTTTACTTGTTTTACACAAATAGAATCTTATTACTTATGAATACAGCAAATTCAATAGGTGTCTGTCCCGTGGGACGAGGTCCGCCAATGGTAACCGACGATTAGTCAGCGCCTTCAAACGGTCTCGTCGTCAACGTGTTAAAGTGGGCATGTTTTGCCCTGTGACAGGCGGGGCAAAGGTCAAAAATTCATAAGCTCCTCTCAAAAATGCTACACATTGAGGAAAAAAGTTGGTAGAGGATGTAGAAGAGATGCTCTCAAATCCTCGAAGTGGGCGGAATAAGATCAAAAATTCATAACTCTGTTCGAAAAGGTTCTGCAACGCACGAAAGAAGTGGTGGTGTTGGATGGAACCACATGGGGTCGCAAGAGGAGTGCCATGTAGATCAAGAAGGATCATGAGGGAGGCGGCAAGATCACCCGCGATCTACTCATGAGAGAGGACCTGAGGGTCCTCTCTCATGAGTAGATCGCGATTTCCGCGGCTTTTTAGGGTATAAATATATGAGTCATTTTGTTTAAAGCACTCGGTTCCCATTTCTCACCTAGAACCCACCGGAGACGCAAGCCTCCTGGCCGCCAACGACGCTCGCCCTCCCCAGGACACGCCTCGCCCCCCGTCGTCAGCTCCCGACAGTCTTTCTATCGTTTTAATATTACAGTTTATTTTTCCTTGTTATTGTTGTTTTTGGTTAGCCATAAAAGTTTGCATAGTTTCCCGTTTTGTTCCGTGCAAGGTCGCAAGAACCATCCTTTGGACGGCCAGTATGTCACATGGGGGCCGAACCTCTTCAATAAAAACTGGACCGAGCATAGAAAAAACGTGAGCAATGGTTAAGTAGAGCAGTCGTTCGCCTACTATTAAAGATGCTGTTGCCGAGAGTAAGGGCAACCCAGAAGAGTGCAGTGGAAGGAGCCACCGTAACCTGGAGACTTTTAGTTCGTGCTGTCGTCACCGTAAGCAAGGGTAATCTGGAGGGAACAGCACACAATATTATTGAAACCACCGTTCTGTTCTTGCTCGTCCTCGCGGTGTCGTTGTTGCAATTAGTGATATTGAGTCACAAAAGTACGGTACTCTGTTGCAGAGCATGACAGAAATGGAGGTGGTCGCATTCGATTCAGCAGATAAGGAAAATTTGGGAGAGGTGAGCTTCCAACACTGGAGTTTAGTGCGTGAGCTGGAAGAGATCAAGATCAGCATTGAGAAAATCCCCATTGAAATGCGGGAAGAGATGGATGAGCATAAAAATCCGGCCCGGTATAAGAGCAAACATAAAGAGGCTCTGAGGCACGAGTTAGACAAGGTCTCTGAAAATGAGGGCCTTAATTAGGTGGCAAGGGTTTCCCCACATATTGGACTGTGTAGTAGAGGAGGCTCTGAACACGAAGGGAATAGAGACGAGAGAGGAGTGGCAAAACTATATAGAGACAATGAAAAGAGACGGAACTATTTTGACAGAGCTTTGTGATGAACTGAATGTAAGTGCACTTCAGCTTGTGCCCTCGGTAGAATGCTTGAAGAAAGCTGCCTTAGGGTTCCAGTCAGAGATGGATCGCAGGAGGTTAGCATGAGACGGAATTACGCATACTGACAGCTTCACAGAGTTTTCGTTACAGAGGCGGAGGGGGAAAGGACCGCCGACTGGAGCACGTTCAGGGACCAGCTCGAGCTTTTATGCGGATCACTCCGCAAAGGGAGCAGCCAGCGCAGGCCAGGATACAAATATATGCTTACAGAATTATGTTCAGTCATTGTCTTGCCCAGATCCGGGTGTTTTCAGAGGGAAACCAAATGAGGACTTTGACGAATTCATCCGAAAATTTCGTTGGAGGTACAGTAAGGTTGTGGCCGATGACAAGAGCTTGATAGAGATATTAAGTGACAACCATCTAGGGGGTGGCACTAAGAATACACTGAGAGCTCTACCAACTAGTGTAATGGACCAGGGATTTAAAGAGGTAGTCAAGAATTTGGAAAGGCTATTATCAAATGAATGTGTAGCAGGGAGAATGAGAGCCCTGACTGAATTGCGAACACTCCGTATGAGACCTGGTCAGAGCGGGGCAGAATCCTGCATAGTATTGGAAGACTTGTTCAGAAAAGCGAACCCAGACAGTACGGAGGAAAGTAGATCATTTGAGAAAGCTCATTCTTTTAGAAAGCCTAAAAGACTGGCCTGGGTACGTGCATTTAATGAGTGCCCTGAACCCAGCTAGTTCGGACAGGGCATGTGATGAAATCAAGCAATTAGCTCTGGGTATAGAACAAGCAAAGGCAATATATGGTAGGAAAGGTTCCGGGCCCTTAGGGTGGAATCTAGGCATGGTACCTATGCACATAGAACTGAAGGTGAACCTCAGAACAGCGCAGGAGAAGATACTCAGGAGTCGAAAAGCGATGGCAAGAAAGTCGGCCATCGTTACATACAGGGTCAAGGCTAAGAAGGAAGAAAAATAGTGGAGGAAGCTGGTAAGAAGTGTTTCAATTGTGCGAGACAAGGGCACTCCCCCAGAGAATGTCCATGAAAACCAGAGAAGGTACAAAGCCTTAGAGAGAAAAGTGCGGATAAAACTGCAGTAAATGCGAATTCCGTGTCAGATATCATTCGTAAAGTGCGTTGTTGTAGCGTGAAAACCCACGATCAGAATAAACGTGAGTACGCTCGGGCAACTGGAACGTTGATGCGCAGAAACTGTATTTCTGATGAAAGAGCAGACACACAAACTTTTATAGGAGAAAGAGGTAGAAAAAAAAGGCTGTAAAACAAGTAGGAATTTGCAAACTACTGCAGCTTTCAGTGGAGCACCACTGCGTAGCCCTCTGGAGAAGGGGTCTGCTCTATAAGTGTGCGGACGGATGCCTGGAAGGAGCAACTTTGGGAGACATGGAAGGGGTTTCGTTTCCCGGCGCAGTAGCGAAGGAGGAAGTCGGAACCCTGTGGAACGCATGGTTGGCATGCAGTATTTTTAGGAGGCACGATATCGACGTTGGGAAGCAGGTCAGACTTCACCGAGAGGGACACATGCGCGGGGACGTGAACTCGCTGAAGGTCGTTTCGAAGTTCGCCTATGCAAGATGCATCGATTGGACGGACTTCGTTTGTAATACGAAGGAGATTGGAGACCACTTCATTATCGAGAACCAAGATGTTCGGCATACGTATTCGAAGGCGCTAAAAAGACTCAGAGAGGAAATTGAGGAGGAGGGGTCTGTAAAAGAAAACAGCCGAAAAAGGGATCAGTTCTCCACGCCAATTTTGAGGGGGCAAACCCAATGGAGAGAGATGGAGTTTGAGGAGGAATAGTCGCGAAGGTCGTGCAAGGCTTCGACCACTTAGTGAAGATACTAGAAGAATGGAAATCTTCAAGGACGTGGGTAATAGTGTGGCCTCAGGACCCGAACTTGAAGAAAAATACTTTGGACGATTTGATGAAACTGATCAAAGAATTCATGGAGAGCGGAGGAGTTGTGTTCACTAAGTGGTACCAGTACGTCAAGAAACTACAATAAGCGGTTCAGCATGGTGGAAATGTGGATGCATTTCGATAAAGCTTTAAGGAAACTCGACGATATGCAAGCCCTCTGCACGGCAAGCAGCAACATTTTCGATGGAAAATTGTTCATAGAAGCAGGGGCGCCAGAAGGGAGCGCCCAACTGTACAGCAACTATGTTGGAGTTCTACCGAAGCAGGTGTACGAGGCAGTAAGACATCGCGTAGAAAGAGCGAGGCTGGCAAAAATAGAAAAGCCGACATCGAGGGTGGTGTCTTCCCGAGGGGAGGGCATGTCGGATGGACCCACATGGGGTCGCAAGAGGCGTGCCTTGTAGGTCGAGAAGGATCATGAGAGGGGCGCGAAGATCAGCCGCGACCTACTCAAGAGAGGGACCTGAGGAAAGTTTGCGCGGTCTTTTGGGTATAAATAGTTGAGGTATTTGTTTAGAGTATTCGGATCCTGACTACTATAGAGCCCCACACCTCCTGGCCGCCGCCGACGCTCGCCCTCCCCAGGACACGCCTCGTCCTCGACGTCACTTCCCGACTTTTTTCCACCTATTTCATTTATTCTCATTGTTATTGTTTTTTTCGTTGTTACGCCATAAAACTTTGTGTAGTATCGCGTTTTGTTCAATGCAAGGCCTAGAACTATCCTTTGGACGGCCAATATAAACTACATGTTCAATTTCCATGGAAATCACGTGGTTATGGTAGGGATTACACTTTGGTGTTTCAGGTTCGTGCTGGTCAATCAACCCAATAAACCAACCCAATAACCCAATCTGTTATTCTTTTTGCTGCCGCGATCCCTTATTTCATTTCCTACTTCTAGAGGCTGAAAAAGGTGAAACTTTTACTATCACTAGGGTTTTTTGTTTACTCTAACTTATCCTTACTATATAGAAGCGCTCTGTCTGTTTGTTTGTTTGTTTGTTTGTCTGTACGGAAATTCGATATAACACTAAGAAACAGCTGGAGAGTCGGGTCAAGCTTGGAATGGGTTGAGCATAGGGTAAGTGCAACAGAGCACATGTAAGCATAACGGAGCTCCGCCTCCAAAGGGCGGGACATGTGTCGGAATTGGGCGGGATCATGGGCAAATTCTTCTCATTCGGTCTCAAAACACTCCAGACGCCGGGAAAAAATGTACAAAGGTGAGGGATGGGTCAACAATTGGAATAAAGGGATGTTACCGGTGGTGGGTGGGGCGTTCTCGCAGTGGGCGGTACTTAACACAGAGATTTATAACTCGGTTCAGCGAGGACGTCGTGGCCAGGAAAAAAACAAAAAGAGTGAGCAAAGCTCATGCGTGCTGAGCATGCGTGAGCTTAGTGAAGCCCCGCCCACGATGGGCGGGGCGTGCGTTGAGGTGAAAGCTGGTTTTCGAAAATGAATGTAACTTAGTTCGGAAACGTTCTAGAATGCGGAAAAAAGTGGATAGAGGTAATAGGACAAATGTGGTTAGATCCCCAAAGTGGGCGGGGTTAGCACCAAAGTGGGCGGGGCTTAGATCAAAATTTCATAACTCTGTTGGGAAACGTTCCAGAATGCGGGAAAAAAAGTGGTTAGAGGTCTTGGGACAAATGTAGTCAAATTCTCTAAACGGGCGGGTTGTCACAAAAATGAGCGGGGTTGGCATTAAAGTGGGCGGAGCTTGGACCAAAACTTCATAAGTCTGTTCAGAAACGTTCTAGAACGCGGGGAAAAAGTGGTAAGAGGTAATGGAACAATTGTAATCAAATCACCGAAGTGGGCGGAGCCGGCTGAGGAAAGCGGGGCTGGGACAAAAATGCATCCCTTCGAAAACTTTCTAAAATGCGGGATAAATGGTTAAGAGCAGTCAAAAAAGGGTGGTAAAGTTTAGTGGGAAGGGTTTGCATTAAGGTGGACGGAGCAATGATCAACCTTACTCTGCTCAAGTACATCGAGTGATGCTCTAGGCAGTTCAGCGTTCGAATCTAGAGAAAGCTATCTTATTCTGATTATCCATAATTCTGCCGAACGACTCCATCGCGGATAAGTGGCCGTCGACATATACTGCACGCGTTAGCGTGCATAGCCGAACTGGTAAGTTAATGAATTTTCGCTTACCATAGTCTGTTATTCGCACCAGGAGCCACACGCACGCAGTGAGACACATTGTGTAGCTCGTCCAAACGCCCCACTCTTCTTCATTTTTCTGGTCTCTTTCTCGTCCAGCCCCCTTTTTAACAATTTTTAGAGGCCTTTTTCTCTTCGGAAACACCGATTCACGCAGTTTCTTCACCTCCAACGCTTTAATTTCGATCTTGCCCACCATTTTTCATCGGAATCTGGATTACCCAAAATTATCACGAACTGTGCCTTTAAGTTGGAATAAGATCGTTCAGATTTGATAGACAGCAGCATGGGTATCCTGCCGGTAGGTTGTACGGCTGAATTCCACCGACAGGGCTGGACGTGCGCCTAAATAATTAATCTAGATCTTGATCATTTGAACTTGATAAGGGTGCAGGCGGTGAGGGTACCACTAGATTTCACCAACAGGGTTGGGGCGTGCGCGAAAACTGTTAATTTGTACCACGGGCATCCAAGTTTGATAGGGGTTGAGACGGCGCAATGGAATGCTAATGAAGGTGACACGACTAAAGATGAAAGGAGAGTGATTGAACCAACTTACTTGAACCACATGAGCTCAACAAGAGTCTGCTCATGACGGGCAAGGCGCTCACGAAGTGCGTGTGCGTGGGTGTGTGTTGCAAGACAATTGATTATTCCTGTCCTCCTACTGGGCCTCCGAATTCGGGAGGGATGTAGGCGGCAAGCTAATGCTACACGAAGAGGAGTAGAGCTCGGCGTTAGCAGGGCTTTCCCACTGCTTACATGAAAAGAACCAAGGATGAGAAAACACTCAGTTCTCGTAACTTGAGCAAACGAATGAGTGAGAGATGGCCTCAACCAAATTGAATATAAGTCATCAAACAATTTGAATAGAGAAAAAAGAAAAGAAATAGAATGAAAAAATTAAATGATAGAGAGAGAAACAAACCATAGCCAACTCCGTGATACTACTTTGGACCTCACTAATCAGTTGCCTCGTCTCATTGTCGCGTTTCATTTCGTTTACGTACAAGTTCACATCATCCATAGCTTCCTTTGCACTCTCCAAGGATTTTCGATCAGGTGCATCAATTGGGGTTGATTTGATCATTTCCTGAACGTATGCTTAGTGAACCCGTTTCATGTCGTTTATAATATACGTTTTTTACTTCCTATTTGTGAATGGCTCAAAAATCTCCAAACTTCGGTTGACAGTAATAAAGTTATCTAGTGCTCCAGAGCAATAGTGGCAACAGAGTTCTCGACGCGAAGGTCGTAGCTATATTGGGCCAACGGCAAATCGAACTAGCCGATATTGCTGCAACTCGCTGACCGGATTTAATAACAATCTCGATGACAAGAATGATTAGCTAGCGACCATTAACCTGACTGTATATGAAGCGCTCGGATCTGTCCGCTGGTCGCGTAAGTCAGGATTACCTGAAAAAGCACTTAGAGAGGACGGGCCCAGTTTGGGATCGCTGAAGGCAAGATCAACCGAGCACAGAACAGCGCAGCAGAATCCGCCCAAAGAGGACGGAGCATGCACCGGAATGACCAATCTACACTGGGCGGATCGTTCTCGAAATTCATAGCTCCGTTCAACCAAAGCTTCAGGAGCAGCAACCCTACGTTCATAATCCGCTTAGTGTGTCTGTTGGTGTGTTTGCGCGTCCAGTGTGTTTTCGGCGGCCAGAAATTCATAAATCCTGCTCCACTGGACCTAAAGCGTTCAAGCGTTTGGTAGAAAGACAGGAGAGAGGATAGGAACACTTACGGGAGGTAGCAGGGCCAAAATACGCTTTTTTGAGCGGAAACTCGTAAAACCGTTCTCTCGGAATAGATCATTCGAATTAAAGAGGAGTACAGGAGGCAGGATGAGAAAACTTATGGCAGGTGGCATGACCAGACTACGAGCACGGCGGAGGGGGCGTTCATGCTTGAAAAATATTGAATAGGGCCTAAAGCACTCAAATTTGGTTGAATACAGGAGACAGGATGGGAACACATGTGGTGAGTGGAAGGACAAGAATCCGTCCGCGCCAGCGTAACGTGCATAAAATGGTCGTGATCTTACTGAATTCGCACAGTCAAGTCGAAGAATAGGGGAATGAACCAATTCGCCTAAGCACACATGAACTGAGCAGAACTCCTCTCATGACGGACGATGTATGAATACTTACCTCCCCTTTTACTGTTCCAGAGGGTCCAAATTTGGAGGGTAAGTAGGCAACAGGCCATTTTTACATGAAAAGAAATCCGATTGGTATTTTGAAAAGAATAGCATCTAAGGTAAGCTAAGCAAGCCTCAACTAAGCTAAGCTCTGCACGCGACGGGCGAGCTTGCTCTCAACAAGTGCTTTTTATAAAGAGATTCAAAAGTGCTCTGTGTTTAACGTACGCGTGAGCATGCTTTACCAACTGCTGTTGCGTACTACAAACGCGATGGTAGTGCAGTTCGGTAAAAAGTGGCAACTGCAGTGAAAAGGAATTCATTAATTCATTGAATTGAGGACAAAAGTATGACAATCTCGACCAATGTTCATGTTCATAAAGATTTGAAGGGTCACTGATTACGACTTGGTGTTATAATGGTGTTAAGATCACTGGGCAACACTAGTAAGTAACATCTGAGAGTTCGTTTAGTTCGTTTGTTTAATTGGGTTGCTCAGTTATAGAAAAGTCGCAGCAACAGTAGCAGTAAGTCCAATGGAGGGAAGGAGGAAGTTTCCAAGGAATGATTACTTTCGAGAAGCAGTCTAAGAGATTGAGATTGTATTAAAAGCGCAAGCATAACCACATATTAAACATCAGTTGAAATGCTAAAATATATATACATATATAAATATATATATATATATGCCTTCACTGCAGATCATATGTTAGTTTCATTGACTACATATGTTACAGTAATTCAATTTTTCGGCAAATCTTACATTTTCTTGCAGTTATTCTTCGTTACAGCTTTCGCGCAATGACTAGTTTTGTGAAATGGCTCATGAAAAAGAGTACCAATGAAGCGAAAATCGAAATCCAATTCGATGGGAACGCGTGTAAAAGGCAGAACGGAAGCGATGGAGTTCGACAGATTCAACAATACACTCTTCTGTTCAGGACATGCTTCAGTGTTTTAGCAGAGTGTGAGCTTGGATGGTTGACTAGGTTGACAAAGACCACCTTCTACTCGTTTTCATCAGAGTACCTCACATTTTTTACGAACCTCCTCCACGTGGAATTCCCACTAACCATATTTTGCCATTTGGTTAAGAGGCTAAGTGGCAAGACATCAGTTGGCGGAGAAGTGAATAAATCGCGGAAACGAAGTCATCAGTACTTTTCCAGAGATGTGGGCGGATTATGTGAATTGGCTCCTTGTCTCTGCTGTTATACATTCTGCCTCCCCGCAGGTCGAGAGGATAACCTGCGGGTGCAATCGCTACCCTGCAAATCGACTCAGCCAAAAGCTTGACTGGAAAGTACACTGGGTTCCGGATGGTCGTTGATAAGCAAGGCCCTTTCAATTCAGAGCCTGGCATGCTACTCGAGAGTGCCCACAAGCCAAAATCAGTAACATCGAAGTGCCTCATTCCCCGAACCTGAAAGAGTCCCTACTACTAACGCGTTGGGTGGGACTGCTCGGAAGAGGCTGCTAAAATCTCTGTGCCATGGTAGGGTGCCCAAAAGAAAACCGAAGCGACGATCTGTACTCTCAATGCGAAGGCTTGCATCAGAAGTGAATATCGATGATCTAATGAACCAACCTAGGAAGAGCAACATTATTAGACCGACCGATACGGCAAGGCATCGCTCGCTCATGACATTGTTGAGACTGCAGAAGAGTACTCTGCAGAAGACTGAACATGCAACAGCAGAGGTGTCGGTGTCTTCGTCAACACTCACCTGGCCATGAATATGAGTTCGTGCAAAAGCACGACTCCCCGAATCGGACATCTTACAAGGAAGGTCTTTCAGGGTGTGGGATGCTTTTTGAAAATGTTTTTTTTTTCATGATGTAGGGGCATGAGCAATGAGTATGGAACTATGGTCCATTTACGCTAAATGACCTTCTGAATGCCAAAAAAGGAATGCAAATGATTTTGTCAGAAATTGCTGTTTCAACCCACTAAGTGTCGTTTGTTTCGTTCATGGCGTCGACTGTCCGCACAGTAGAAGGCGCCGGTGGACTGCGCATTGAAAATAATGTGAGCGTAAGCCAAAAAAGGGACGACATGTTGAAAAATGCGGGGAAGTTCCATAGGGGCTGTCCACGGTTTAGCTGCTGGCAGCGACGGATGGTGTGGTGAATAGCGATGCGGACTTCGAGTTTGGACGACTAGGCTGGGTTGATGGCTCGGATCCTCGAGGCGTTGCCGTTTTTGCATTTTATGCTGCCACCTCCAGATTGCCTCCATATTGCTCCAGGGCCAAAACAATGAGCCAGAGTGCTGGAGCAGACGGCTAGGCCGGCCTGGCCTGCCACCTAGTCTTATTCGAACCCAAGCCATACGTGATACCAGCGCTACTGCACCGCACAATGCATTCCTCCGCATCTCGTTAACTCCTACGACTGATAACCAAAGCGTCTGTTAAGGTAAAGTCAGTGGCGTGTATGTATGTACATTGGCCGTGACCTTTAACGTTATTGATGTGTGTAATTAAATATTGCAGGGATGTCTCGGATCTGTCATCACTTTCTGGGTACCGGGACCCAGTCCATGATTTTTTAATCGACAAGTCTACGTGGGCTCTTTCATGCGTAAATCTCGATCGCGAACTCTCAACATCACTTGAGGATGTCGTTCGCTCTCAAGACAACTCGGGATCATCATCGGGACCAGAACCAATGAGCAGTCCAACGCTCTCCCGTTTGCCTTCGGTGCTTTCATCAGAAGGATCAATAAAGGAAATTTTCCGATTTGATTCGGAGATCTGGCATTGTCTCCCACGAAAAAAGCATCTGTAGACGAGAAACAAAACAACGGAGTAGTTGCTCTGCGAAATCCTAATACAGTAGCCGTTTGTGCTCCACTGATATTCGGTTATTCGGTTAAATATTATAATAATCGCTCCACACGGTTTCGGTGTAGGAGGTCGTACTGGCCGGGCGTTCACGTTTTTGGTCGGTGCCATCTTTCGAGATGGACAGCTTTCATCGAGCGACTTGTCGGTCGTCCCAGAGGAGGCCGTAGAAGGCAGCACCTCGTTCGCCTTTCGATGCATCTGACGTGGAACAGCTACGCTTCATCAAACCGCCTCTATTAGGGCACAGCCACACAGTCACTACATAGTTTGCAATCTTCTTCGGTGTCAATGAACAGGTTCCTGTGTGATCGGCTACAGATGTGGATTCCATCGAGGGAACCTCAGCCAGGCGTTGGGTTTTCGAGTTCGCGATCGACATTTACGCATGAAAGAGCACGGGTAGACTTGTCTATTAAAAATCATGGACTGGGTACAGGTATTCAGAAATTGATGACAGATCGGAGACATCCCTGCAATATTTAATAACACACATAAATAACGTTAAAGATCACCGCCAATGTACACACATACATGCCACTGATTTAACCTTAACAGACGGTTTTGGTATCAGTCGTAGGAGTGAACGAGATGCGGAGGAATGCATTGTACGGTGCAGTGGCGTTGGTACGAACTATGCCTGAGGATCGAATACGACTAGGTGGCCGGCCAGGTCAGCCTAGTCATCCCCTCCACCTCTCTGGCTCATTGCTTTGGCCCTGGTGCAACATGGAGCCAATCTCGAGGTGGCAGCATAAAATACAAAAACTGCAGCACCTCCGAGATCCGAACCACAAACCCAGCCTAGGCGTCCCAGCTCGAAGTCCACATCGCTATCCACCACACCATCCATCTCTGCTACCAGCTCAACCTTGGACAGCTCAAACGAAACTTCTCCGCACTTTTCAACATGTTTCGACATGTGACTCCCTTTTCACGTTCACGTTATTTTCAATGCGCAGTCCACTGGCCCTTCTACTGTGCAGACAGTTGACGCCATGAATGAAACAAACGACGCTTAGTGGGTAAAACGGTAACTCCTGACAAAATCATTTTCACCCCTATTTTGGCATTCAGAAGGCCGTTCAGTGAAAATGGACTTAGTTCTATAATCAGTGCTCATGCCCCTACACCATGCAAAAAACCATTTTCAAAAAGCGTGACACACCCTGAAAGACCTTCCCTGTTAGATTGAATATGACTCAACAAAAGCTCTTGCAAAGTCAGTTGAATACGCGCAACATCAATCTAAGGAGAAGAGGACCTGGAAAAGCTCTACAGCAAAGACCATACTTTTTTAAAGCACATCGCCGAAACTGGCCCTAGAAGAACGGCTCAGTGTGTGATGTTGCTGTTGTTCCGAAGTTCTACCCAGGTTCAGGCACCCCCTCCTCCGCGTTAGATTCTATTTTTCAATGCGTGGAGGGCGAACTGCGAAGTTCAGGAAGCAATCCTCAGACCGTCACCGATTGGATCCCTCCGTTTCCTTTGCGTGTTTATAAGAAGACTCCGTCATTCTCCTCTTCGTTCATTCTTAGTCGTGTCACGTGCCACCAGCATTCCCGTATTGCCGCTTGTATTCCTACCAAATCCATCCAAATTTTTAACAATTTTTGCGTACTCCCCATCCCTTTAAAAGCACCGTTCACGATAAGAAAGTTATTGAGTTCTTACCTTATTAATACTCAGCGACCCCCATGGGTTGTAGAGGGGACCTCTCACTCCCCCAATCTCGACGTCCAGGGCATAGTGGCAGCTCCGTTGTTGCCGTAGTTCGCGTGCCCGCTCCTCGATCAGTGTCACGTTAGACGAGTGTCGAGACAATACAGAGTGCTATTATTCGTTCTAGGACCCACGCACAATCAGCTAATCGCCGAGTGATGAGGCGATGTTTTTCTCCCATTCTTTTTTCCTCTGTTTTTCTTTTTGCTGCCGCGATCCCTTATTCAATTTCCTACTCCTAGAGGCTGAAAAAGGTGAACTACTTTTGCTGTTACTAGGTTTTTTTGTTTATTTATGCTTAT